GAGCAACACGTTCTAAAAACTGAACATAAACCTTGTGATTGTGATGACTTTCAAGTCATTAAAAAGCCCTTCTTTAGCAAGTAACATTTACCTAACAAGATATGATTATCATTCCACTCACTGCCAAATGGTTGTTTTTCCCAATCACATTTATGAATATGAGATAAAAGTTATAATAAATCTTCCCTCTGACTCTGAAAGACAGGATGGAATGTTTTCTCAAGATGAAGCTCATCCACATATCCCTTCAAAATCCCCCAAATTTAGGAACTGGCAATACATTGCCACTTACAAAGGAAATAGAAGGATGTTACATTCAGGATAATAATAGGCACTAACATTTATTAAACTATGGGTGCTCATGATTGAGGTAGGTAACTTAATATTTAAGTTATTAATTAATTTTAAATTAAGTTATTAATAATTGATGATTAAATAATAATTGAGCAGATAAATAAACTAACAGATAACATTTAATTCAATCCTCTTAACCATATGGGAAGTACCACTGTTACCCTCATTATAGGCAAGGAAACTTAGATTAAGAGGTGTTAGCTATTTGTCCAAAGTCACATAACTCTACATGGCTAAGCCAGGACCCAAACCCAGACTGTTTGACTTCATAACCTAAAGCTCCCATCCTTTGCAACTGGGTAAGTGTAAGAAGCATGGGGATAGAAATATCTTGGTTAGCAAGAAAGAGACAAAGAGAGCAGTGGACATTGGAAGAGAAGAGCAGAGGCAAAAACTTTCTAGATAGAGGATGTCCCATCCAGGAAACAGCCCTGAACTAGCTATCAGGAGGTCTGGAAGCCCTTTCTCAGGGTGGTAACAGTGTGATGAAGGGGAAATCAGTTCATTCCAGCCAAATACAAAAGAACATGTTAAAATACAGCAAAGGGGTGTGTGCTAACTATAACCATGTTAAAGTAAAAATAAAACTCCAAAACACCATATCAATATCAATACAATAAAAAAGAAAGAAATATTTAAAACAAGTAACAAACACAACATACTACAGATTCTACAATCAGAGAAATGTCATGGCAGAACTTAAACTACAAACAAACTACTGAACATTAACCTAAATACTTCTAAAAAGGATATCAGAGAGTGTCCTTTTCATTTCTTGACCACATCACTACCACCTCAAGTCACAAAAAATGCTTTCAAAGTTAGTAGTTTTTGTTGTGTTTGTCTACTGCAAAGATACTCATAAAACCATAAAAATCAAACTGTGGCCAAAAGTTGCCCGATCTAAGGCAATTAAAAATGGTATATGTATTTTAATTTATCATATCTGTTTACTTCATTATCATGAGACCTGGAGAAGAACCTAACTATGGTGTGCAACCTACAAAATTTGTGAGATAAATAGGCATTGTTTAAAGTCACTACTTTTGTGGTTGTTTAGCATACAAAAGTAGAAAACTAGCAAAATACTCAAAATGATTTGACAACTGAAAAAACAAAATAAATATTAACTCCAGGGATGGGAGAGGGAAACTATGCAAAAAAGGAAAAGTATTCATGGTGCGCACAGGTTGTTATCCACACCTGCAACCCTTTGTCACTGTCTTGGTGTCTACGTCTCTTCCACTTGCAGCAGGCAGCTTTAGTGACTTGCTCATTCCAAACTAGTGAGCAGAAATGACTCTGAGTAGCCTCCGGGTTAGGTCAGTTGCTCCCTGCTCCCTTGAACACTTCCTATGGAACCCATTTTACCAGAGAATTCAGCATTAGGTTTTCAGGCAAAGCATAAGCTTCCCATTTTCCATTTACTATTTATAGATTGTCCATATATTATTGTTCTGGTTACTGTGTTATCCTCAGAGAATTCAGGGAGCAGGAAGATGACTATTATGAAGCAGAATTTGGCCTTTCCTGGATTCTCAGCCATAACACCATCACTACACCACTGACCTCAGTAAATAACAGCGTCCATAGCAGTCACTGTAATCTGGAAGGCAGGATATTGAAAATTTAAGTATAGACAGGACTGTCAATTACCAGCTGAAAACATGTCTATTACTCCATTTAATATCCTAGAAACTTCTACCAAGTTCATTTGCTGTAAAATCCTAAGCAATCTACCTAACATGTCTAGGCCAACAAACCTTAGAAATAACATTTGGTAGATGAGAAAACTTTTTGAAAATATCTCAACACAATGTCTTCTCATGCCAAAAGTAAACTTCAATCTTAATTAAAATCAACAAATACTTATGGATAAGGTACTATAAAGAACAAAGACTAGACACAGTTCTTGTTCTCAAGGAGGTTATAATAAAAATACATACTTAACTAGCCATAAGGCAGAACAAAGTAAGTTCTATAAGAAAGATACAACAGGAAGCCAGGCATGGTGCCACACACCTAGAATCCCAGCAACTTGGGAGGCAGACACAGGAGGCTCACTGTGTGAGACTGAACTGGACTAAAACTGAGACCCTATGTAAAAACCAAACTAAAGCAAAAAGGGCTGGGTGAATGGCTCCAGCCCCTAGCAGCTCAAGGCACTGAGAGGACAAAGAAGAGCTATTCAAATGCTCCAATCCCTAGACCATGTTTTCACTTGAAATTATCCCATCCTTCAAATTATAAATTCTGGAACCCCTTTCAGATTAGTTCTCTTGGGTAGAAACCTTTATTCCCGCCCCACACACACATACACACACAAGTTTCCAGTTGGGAGAGCAGAGAATCATTCATTCCTTAGGAAAGGCAACAGACTAATCTGATTGGTAAAACTGGTGAGCTTCGTCCACTCCATCCTACCCCACCTTCACTTGTGAGGAATGACTTGCTCACAAGGCAATGTTTCAGCCTCAGGCCTCCAGCAATTTATCAGAAGCTTTATATTCAATGGTTACTGGATCCTGTTTAGGTATTTGTTAAGCTGTTTCTGACTCTGTTATATTCTCCAAAACTGAGAATGCAGAAAGGGGAAGGCAGATGAGTTATTGAACCCTCAAATATCCAGCAATATCTTTATTTTCTATCTAAATGCCCTATAACCATCAATCCTGAGCCAATGTATTTGTTCTCTACACTCACTTAAAGAATATTCTACAAGCACAGGAACTAAGGACATGCTAGAGGTGCTCTCCAATCCTTGGTGGACACTATTTCCTACCTAGTAATCTTCTACAGTTTCCTGTTAATTATCAATGCTGCCTTTCTTAAGAAGCTATTCCAAACATCCCTAACATTCTCACCTACAGCAGATAACCATGTCTTCAGATTCACTGAGAAAATGGCATGATTTGGGCTTGAAGAACATGAATTAGCTGCCCCAACCTGCTCCACAAACTTTCCATCTACCGTTGAGTATTAATGTCTTAACTGTGCTCCAGCTCCTAAGCCTTCAGTGTCCTCAGAGATCTTCCCCATTAGTTATTCCCCCTCTCCTGAGTCTTCAACTCTTGCTCCTAACAGTCCTTTCTTTTCTTCATGTAAACACACTCAAAACTCATTTTTAAAGCAAGAGTGCAATAACAACAACAAAACCACAACTCTCTTCTAGCCTGAACATCCTTCTAGCCAAATCTGTTCTCCTCTTAACAGCTGTCATTCACTTTGCATTTGCGGTGCCACCTAACGCATGCTGCCACCCTTCCCCTGAAGCCACTCACATCAATGTGACCAAATGAGCTCCAAGTCCACAAGGTCAACAATCGCTTTTCAATTCTTCCTGGACTTGATCTCTCCACAGCACCTGACTTTAACAACTTCCATCCTGACACTCTCCCCAGTGGGGTTTTTATAATATCACTGACTCACAATTCTCCCTCTTCACTAACAAATGCTCTCACTCAGTCTTTACTAGTCAAACCTTACATTTTAACATTTTCCCAGGATTCTATTCTTGGCTTTCCTCTTCTCAAACTAAACACTCCCTGGGGATGGGGGAGAAGGAGAGGAATATTTATACTATGAATTATCCCACATGCCCATAAATCAATAAGACTAAATTTGAATTTATTTGCTTCCTTTCCCCACCCATCCCCCCATTCCTATCATGGCACTCTGTATTTGCTTATCTGGCTATCTTCCCTGCCCTAGCATGCATGGGGGATGGACACTATACACTGGTGTCAGTAGTAGTGGCTTCCTGGAGTGGGGACTGTGAGTGTGGATGGGCATGACAACATAACAAAAGGAATGCATCTTAGATGAGCTGAAGAATATGTAGTATTCAAATACTCCACATGAGTGTCGCTAAACTACACTGTGCAGATCTGGAGGGAACGTTCACAGATTGACATCTATATATTCATCTCTGAATTTCCTTGCTTAACACAAGTGCCTGGCACATCATGGGAACTCAAGTCACATTTTGTGAATGAAAGAAATAGAAGGATGGAAGAATTGGAAGGATTTCAATCACTATAGGTGGGGGACAAATTATTTATGACAGAGGGTGCAGAATAGTTCAGGCAGAGACAGTGGGGCATGTGAGGAGGTAATGATCAGTAACACCAGAATGCTGAGGCATGGTCTTCCAAGAACTTACAACTGAGTTTGCAGGCAATGGGAACAAGCTAGGTCTCTTCAACAGTGCAGTTTGTGATTGGAAAGGAAGAAACTAGACCTCCTAAGTAGCTCCCCAATGAACTGGCTAAGTGAGAGGAAAGGAAGGCCTAAACTATAGCAACTGGAGCAAAAACAGGAGAAAGTATTATTTTTAAGAATGTAGATAAATGGCAAAGTTTTCAAATATTTAAAAACGGAACTAATCAAAGGATTAAAAAAGCCTAAAAAAGAAAATTATATGCTAATTTTTAAAATACATTTAAACCCAACTTCATTGATTCAATCAATTACAAGTGGTATTGGATGCCAGAATGTACAGTGTACTTACTGTGGTTTATTGTGCTAATGAGAACCCAACACACATAAGTAGCCTCACAGTAACTAAACAAGGTAAGCACCTATCTATACATGTTCAGGAAAGGACATTTCTACAGCCCTTGGAAGAAGTTAGAATATAACCATACCGTGAAGCTGTTGTTGGCATTTTTTGTGCTTGCTTCAGCAACGCTGGCATCTGAGAGGTCAACTTCATCAAATATCAGGGACTGTTGATGAAGAAGAAAACAGAAACCTTAAGAGAAAGCCAAGCTCCATGAATAAGGTCATGACTATGAAAGCTTTGTCAAGAATAAAGAATTGAAAAATGAAGAGAAAGTTAAATTAGCAATACTTTGCAATTTTTTCTTAGGAAGGTAAGTGAAACCATAAAATAGAACAAGCCTATAAATCTCAAACTGAAAAGGAAGTTAAAGAACCCCAGTACACTGTTTCAGTGTAAATGTTCTGTGTTGTCTGGAAGTACATATCATTTACAAGGAGTCCACTGCGTGTGCTATACACACACACACACACACACACACACACACACGAGTCCACTGCGTGTGCTACACACACACACACACGAGTCCACTGCGTGTGCTACACACACACACACACAGAGTCCACTGCGTGTGCTACACACACACACACACAGAGTCCACTGCGTGTGCTACACACACACACACACACACACACACACGAGTCCACTGCGTGTGCTACACCACACACACACACACACACACACACACACACACACGACAAATCAGAGAGGCAGAGACCACATCCAGGATCCCAGGCTTTGCTAACTGGGAACTGACAACAAGTTCTAGCTCAGATCGTTTGTTACCAGACATTCTGAACTTTATTTTCCTCCTCTATACATATGTATTCAACTGAGGTGGTGAAATGTGCTCTGCAAATAGAAGATGATGTTTCTTTTATACTCTTAAACATTGTTTTAACCAAAAAGTGCCAGTAAAAGGTCCATAGAAAGAATTAAAAAAAAAAAATGAACAAGTTAGAGCCATCCCCCCACACCAATGGACTGGCTTCGTTAAACCGCAATTTTCCTCCCGTCAGGTTCTCCATGTGTCTTTCTGCCTACGTTTCATGGTACTGGAGTTTGAACTCAGGGATGCATGCTTGCTAAACATGTGTTCTACCACTTGAGCCACTCCAAGCCCAGAAGTAAATCTTTTAAAGAATAAAAACAGAGTGCGGATCCAAGATGGTGACTAGAGGGTAGAAGCAGACAGCATGAGCTCTGTAAATCAAAAATTTTGCTGAGATGCTGGAGCCACACTTGGCAGAAAAAACCACCAAAAAGAATCAGAACTCCAACACCCTGAACCCCCAGCCTGTACAAACCATGCCACGTTCCACTGAGAAAACAGGAGGGCTCCCACACCACCAGACAGCAGCTGTAGACCTGCTTGGGAGACGCAGACCTACAGTTTTACTATTGTAAATTAGCTAATACTAAATTACACACAGACCAGGGACAGAAACAGCACCAAGTGGACTAATGGGAACACAAAAAAGGGATGGAAACCATTCTCTCCCAAAAAATAAATTAATACAGGATTTAGAGAGAAATGAAGAAAATGGATACCCAGTTCCACACTACAACAAAACAAAGATAAACTATGCCAAGGAACCCAATGAAGCTCACAAGAACATTCTGAAAGAAGAAATCCTGCAAGTAATCACTGAGAATTTCATGTGCAACCAAAACGTACAGAAGGCACTCAAGAAATTCCAAGACAACAAAAATAAAGAATATGAGAAGACACAGAAACAAATAAATGAACTCATAGGAGCCCCAAATAAATACCAAAGTGAAACACAGAACACCATAAATAGAGAAATAAATGAATTAAGGTTGAAAATTGACAATATTAAAAAGGAAGTGACCCATGATATGGAAAACCTCAGAAAAAAGAATGAGATAGAAATACAAAACACAATGGAAGGCCACTCCAGCAAACTAGAACAAGCAGAAGACAGAATCTCAGAATTTGAAGATGAAATAGAAATTAAAGGAAAAACTGAAGAACTATTAGTCAAACAACTCAAGACCTGTGAAAGGAATATGCAAGAACTCACTGACTCCATCAAAAGACCAAACCTGAGAATCATGGGCATTGAAGAAGGAGAAAAGGTGCAAGCAAAAGGAAATCGTAACATATTCAACAAAATAATAACAGAAAATTTCCCAAATTTAGAGAAAACTATGCCCATTCAGGTACAGGAATCCTCCATGATACCAAACAAACTTGACCAAAATAGAACTACCCCATGACATATTATCATTAAAACAACAAGCACAGAGAATAGAGAAAGAATATTGAAGGCTGTAAGAGAGAAAAAACAAATAAAATACAAAGGTAAACCCATCAAAATCACAGCAGATTTCTCAACGGAAACCTTAAAAGCAAGAAGAGCATGGAGTGAGGTCTTCCGGGCACTAAACGAAAATAATTTCAACCCTAGAATACTCTACCCAGCAAAACTATCATTCAAAATAGATGGAGCAATAAAAGTCTTCCATGATAAGCAGAAACTAAAACAATATATGACCACCAAGCCATCACTACAAAAGATTCTTCAAGGAATTCTGCACACAGAAAATGAAAGCAAACAAAACCATGAAAGGACAGGCAATACCAAACCACAGGAGAATAAAAGGCAAGAAAGTAGAGAGTAACATTGATACAGCTGCACATAATGAAACCCTTAAACAATAAAAACATCTAAATGACAGGAATCACCACATACCTATCAATACTAACACTGGATGTCAACGGACTTAATTCCCCCATCAAAAGACAACATTTGGCGAAATGGATTAAAAAGGAAGTCTCTTATATACAGGAGAACAATCCCATGGACAGAAATAAGCACTGACTTAGGATGAAAGGCTGGAAGAAGATTTACCAAGTCAATGGCCCCTGAAAACAGCAGGAGTAGCAATACTTATCTCAGACAAAGTAGACTTCAAACTTACATTGATCAAATGAGATAAAGAAAGACACTCCATACTAATAAAAGGGAAATAGACCAAAATGAAATAACAATTATCAACCTATATGCACCCAATGTCAATGCACCCAATTTCATCAAACATACTCTGAAAGACCTAAAAACACATACAGACTCCAACAGAGTGGTAATGGAGACTTTAATACCCCCCCATCACCAATAGATAGGTCATCCAAACAAAAAATCAATAAAGAAATCCTAGAACTAAATCACACCATAGATCAAATGGACCTAGCTGATGTCTACAGAATATTTCATCCAACTTCCACAAAATATACATTCTTCTTAGTAGCCCATGGAACCTTCTCCAAAACTGATCATATCTTAGGGCACAAAGCAAGCCTCAGCAAATATAAGAAAATAGAAATTATACCATGCATTCTCTCTGATCACAATGCATTAAAACTAGAACTCAACAACAAAAACAACAGTAAAAAACATGCAAACAATTGGAAGCTGAACAACGCATTGTTAAATGATCAATGGGTCATTGATAAAATAAAAGAGGAAATTAAAAGTTTCCTGGAAGGTAATGAAAATGAAAACACGACCTATCGGAACCTATGGGACACAGCAAAGGCAATCCTAAGAGGAAAGTTTATACCTATGAGTGCACACATAAAAGGACAGAAAGATCTCAAATCAATGACCTAATGCTATATCTCAAATTCCTAGAAAAATAAGAACAAGCAAAATCCAAAACAAGCAGGAGAGAAATAATAAAAATAAAGGCCAAAACTAATGAAACAGAAACAAACAAAAAAATACCATACAAAGAATCAATGAAACAAAAAGCTGGTTCTTTGAAAAAATAAATAATATTGACAGATCCCTGGCAAACCTGACTAAAATGAGGAGAGAAAAAACCCAAATCAGTAAAATCAGAAATGCAAAAGGGGAGATAACAAAAAACACCACGGAAATCCAGGAAATCATCAGAGATTACTTTGAGAAACTATATTCTAATAAATTTGAAAATCTTGAAGAAATGGGCAGATTTCTAGATACTTATGACCATCCAAAATCGAACCAGGAGGGTATTAATCATCTGAATACATCTATAACACAAAATGAAATTGAAGCAGCAATAAAGAGTCTCCCAAAAAAGAAAAGTCCAGGACCATACAATGGAGTTTTACTCAGCCATGAAGAATGAAATCTTATCATTTGCAAGTAAATTGATGGAACTGGAGAACACCATTCTGAGCAAGGTTAGCCAGGCTCAGAAGACCAAAAATCGTATGTTCTCCTTCATATACAGACTTTAGATCTAGGACAAATACAACAATGTGGTAGGACTTGGGTCACATGACAAGGGGAGAGCACATACGGGAGATATGGGGATAGGAAGGAAACCCAAAACATGAAAGGGTTTGAACTAATACAGAAACCTTAAAGCGACAGAGGTCTATATGGGAAGGGGATCAGGAACTAGTGAAAGGTCAGGTAGAAATGAATCAACTTGGGTTGTAACACATTTGTACATGGAAGCAGTGCTAGGAATCTCCCTGTATAGCTATCCTTATCTCAACTAGCAAAAACTCTTTGTCTTTCTTATTATTGCTTATGTCTTCTCTTCAACAAAATTAGAGATAGGGGCAGAACAGGTTCTGCCTGGAAGGGTGGGAGGTGAGAGGGAGAGAGAAGGGGTCGGGGGTAGGAGGGAGAAATGTATGCACAGGTGAATAAATGAATAAAAAACAAAAAATAAATGAACAAGTTAGCAATTAGAAAATCTGAGTAAACAAATGTATCCTTCCCACTTTTGTATTTTTCCAGCAAGGCTGGCATAACAGCAAACCTTTAGAATTGCAGAAAAAAGGGTCCCTCTTTTCTAATAGTTTCCATTCCCCCTCCCAGATCTCCAGAAGTTACACTAGTCTACTTCAAGTCAACCAATCTGACTGTAAGACCTGTTGCCTGATGAGAAGGAATTCACAGCCAAGCACAGGAGATGGAACAGACACACCTAACTGTAATGTAAATAGACTATTAAAAGTGGAAGAGAAGAGCTATAATGAAATTCTCTGTAAGGTCACCAATAATTTCTCCAACAGAAAATGATTAAATCCTTCCTCTTATGAATAATGAAAATAGGACTATTTGAGGGAGTCCTTAAAGAAAACAGGGCATTTCATCAAATGGAGATACAGGGAAAGTCACTCTGCAGATGGGAAACACAGGCCAAAGTCAAAGGCTGTCAACTAGCCAATGCTTCTAGAGACAGACATGAAAAGCCAGAATGAGCCAGATCAGGCATAACAGTGAACATCATGACTTTTAAAATAATATCATTTTATCTTGTGATTACTAATTTGTAAGTATGTGGTATTCTATTACAGTTGCATGAACTAAGAAGTAGGTTTTGGTTTTGCCTCCTGGCATATAACTCATCTAATTACATCATGAACATACATTTTAAAAATGAAAGTGATTAATTTTTCCACTGGCCCAGTAGCAAGAAATTTTCATGTTTATTTTTGAAGCAATACTAAAATATCCATTTTAATGGGCTCATTACAATTTTTTCCAAAAATGCATTATTATTATTTTATTTAACTGTTACATAAAAATTGCTTAAGTATTGATTTTCTTCCAATATGATTTTTATTCTTAACTGTTAGCATAAAGGAGTGGTTATTTGTGCTAGGTATTACCTAAGCTTCCTCTCAACAATGCATGCTAGCCACAGGCACATCGTGGAATCTGCTAGAATTAGCATTGAAACCTATATCTGAACCAAGAACATACATTTTTAACAACTGTAGTAACTCTCATAGTCAGAATACTATTTCAAAGGTTGAAAAGTAACAGAAGAGGGAAGAAACTCAAAATTTGGAGTTTATTATATCTAATAAGATGATGCTTTTAAGAAAGATTATGTTCAATGTTTTAATTTGAAGGAAAGGAGAAGAAGAAAGAAAAAGCAAAATGCACTAGAGTTTTCCTATAAGATTATTCTTAGGGACATGTTGTGGGAATGACCCAAAGAGATGAGTCTTGGGATAGGGTGCAAGGTTGATCACATTTATACTGAATCCATGCAAGGACATGGATGATGCTATGCGAGACCCCAAGACAAAAACAGTGTATACGACCAAAATTTAAGATGCATTCACAACCTGAGGTACTTGAAACTAGTACACTCTTGAATTACCTTTGAGTCCTTTGCATAATACAGTGTACGGCCTCGAAGTTTGAAGTATCTCTTTTTCCACCTTTGGAAAGAACTGGTTTGCTTCAACAGTTGTCCCTCTTTGATACTGGTCTGGGGAGAAGCAGAAGCACGATGACATGGTTAAAATGCAATCCCAAACCAACTGCAATTCTGAATCAATGACAGATGATCATTGCCGTTCTCAAATAGTATCCCACATCTTACAAATGACAGGAGAGAATACTTTGTTCTCGTCACAGTTGAATCAAGGGAGCATATGCACAAAGTCCCAGAGAACAAAAGTGTATGACATGGTTTTCTGTCCCCAAAGAATTCACAAACAGTATGAAAGACACATGCACACAAACTAACATTTGCAATATACTGTGGTATGCACTGTCTTGTACTGGTAAGGATGGTGGAGGTGCAGTTTAATATATTTATTATGAGAGCACATGGACTTTGGAGCCAGAGACCTTGTGTTCAGTTCCTGGCACCACCACAGGTAGCTGCATGATCTCAGGCAAGACACTAAACTTCATGTTTTTATTTATTCATCTGTAAAATAGGGGCGTTAGTAGGATATGCCATATGGTAGGTGTAAGGAGTAAATAACAAACGTTTAAAAGATTTAGTAGGTGACACATAATAAGTGCTCATTAACTGTTAGTTATTACAACAAATGCAGAGGGCTGTGTTTGGTGGCCCAGAGATGGAAATTCCTCAGAAGGAGTCAAAGAATTCCCAGAGGAAGGCTCCACAGTGGTTCTTGCAATTTCGAGTTTATTGCAGTGAAAAGGGATAAGAGAAGGGCATTTCAGGTGTGTGCAAAATAGAAAGATTTTGCTACAGTTTGGGTCTGAAATGTCCCACAGAGGCTCATGAGTGGAAGGTTCCATCCCAATAAAGCAGCGCTCAGAGATGGAGCCTCTGACAGTTGATTGGATCCTGAGGCTCTGACCATGGATTAGTCCATTGAGGAATTCCAAGGGTTTTTGAGAGATGGTGGAGTCTTTAAGAAGAGGGGTCTGGCAGCTTCTCTCCACCCTCTCCACTTCCCCACATGGGGTAAGCAGCTTTGCCTCAATGACCTTTGCTTTCCTGCCACAGACCTTTAAGCAACAGAGGCAGCTGACCGTGGGCTGAAACCTCGAAACTGTGAGACAAAATATACCCTTTCTCCTTTAAATTGACTTGCTCAGGTATTTTGTCACAGACTAATACAGGTTTAGAACAGCATAAGTATTTAGGGACTCTCCAATGAACTTTCTACTAAAAATCTACAAGACTGATTACAAGAGGGAGCAGCAGGAGATGTGGCTGGAATAGGTAGGTGAGGACTCTGCGACTCTAGGTCAGAAATGCTCATTTACTCCATTGTCATCAACAAAACACTTTGAACCTGTCTGACCCCATCTATAGTCTCTACCCTCACTCAGTCCCCTCCACCCATCATGGCCACTTTGCTTTCACATTCCTCCTTTGGGCCTAAGCACTGGCTTCTCTCTCCTCTCCCTCTGCTCTTCCTATCTAGCTAGCTCCACCACTTCAAGTCTTGACCTTTTAAGGAGACCCATTTCACTGACTACTGTCTGATACTGCAAATTGTTCTTATTGCCATCTTTTTCTCCACAAATACCCACAAAGTATTTCCATTTTCTAACAAACAATGCAATGTACAAATTTATTACATGAACTTCTATATCTAATAAAGTTAAATTTAATGTTTCATTTTAATTGGAAATAAAGGAGAAAGAAAAGTACTCTGGAGCCTTCCTATAAGATTGTCCTTAGAGAACATCTCATAAGACTGGCTCAAATGGACCCATTGGGATGGGTCCAAGATGGTTCACATTTATTCTAAATTCAATAAGAGTAATAATGCTATAGTAGCCTCCAAGGCAAAAACAGCTAATAGAGCCAAAGTTCTACATCATCTGACTGCAATGCTCACTGACATATCTCAAGCACCGACAACACTACCGAGCACATGTGAAGATGAAAGCACATATGAACAGATACCAGGTTCTGAGATTAAACTCATGTGCTTGATTGCAGAGTTTATTTGCAACTTTCACACTAAACTCTCTCATATTAGTACAAGTAAGAGAGAAAAGACAGAAAAGTTTGTTGTCGCCAGTAAGGTCATTAAGTTATATTAATGTTTACTTTCAATTTTACTAAGAGACCTGCTCTTTGGCTTGCTCTAAGCCTAGTAATTGAGAGATCATTGCAATTTAATGGTAACAAAATATTTCTGAAACTTCAGTAGGAAAGGACTGATTTAAGAACCAGACAGACAGATGTCAGCCAAGCTCCACCACATACTAACGTATGAACCTAAGCAAGTCACTCCAATGCTTTCATCTTCCCCAAAAAATGGGAAGAACAATACCAACTTCACAAGTTTGTTGCATCTAATTTCATGATAAGATAATGTCTGAAGAGCACTTAGCACACTGTCTGGACTATGGAAAACTTCCATAAGTGGCAGAAAGTGTTATTATTATGATATCATTACACTATTAAGTTCAGAGAGTATTTGCCAGGCATCAAATTATAAGAGCTTCTTGGAAGAAGTAAATAAATGTTCACAGGCCACTGACAGGGCAAATAACAGCTGGCGTGGATGGAGAGTATCAGGAGATGAAGTTACGGGAGAACAAGAGCCAGGATTTCCTGCCATGACAGTGTGCTTTTTACTCCACATGCAGAAAGCTAGTGAAAAGTTTGAGGTGGGAGAGTGGAGTGGGGAAAAAGTGTGAAGGAAACCGAGAACACTTAGGAGGCTGCTGCAGGATTTCAGGGGAGGACTGGCAGACAGGCCTTTTGCCTAGAGTTGTAGCATAATCATCCAGATGGGAGGGAAAGAAGCATTTGAGACACTATTGTGAAGGCAGCTTCTACAGGACATGCTGATAAACATGGAGGACAAAAGAGAGCAAAGAACCTAGGAAAAAACCCCATACCCATTTGGCTCAGGCAGCTAGATGCAAAAGACTGCACAAGATAGAGGTTGACCAGGAGGAAGGACTGCTTGAGAAATCAAAACTAGGGAGAACCATAGCTCAAAAGATTCACTCCTGTTAAACTCATATGGTGAGTGTGATGGGGAGGAAGACTGGAATTCACTAGAGTGGTAAAAAACATGAGTCCATTTGAAGTCAACATTTATTAGGGAAACAGCCCTGACCCACTCACAGAAACTCTCATTCTGGGATTGGAGGTCAAGGGGAACCATCCACTGTGATTATCATCCTAATAGATCCAACCAGCCTTTTCTGTGCTGTAGCAGGGAGTAATGGTTGAGGTCCCAACCCATGGGCCTCCACCTCTAGAAACCCAGGTCTCAGAGAGAAACATAAAAAAGCTAATCTCATTTTATGATTCAAAAGTATCACAACACTTGATGTTGCCATCACATCAGAAATATTTGTATACAGAATAATTAACTGTATTATTACAAATTGAAAAAGAAGCACCCAATCGACAGCTGCCATTGGAGGACGGCCCTCCCTCATTGAGTGTACCTCAATGGTGGTGGAAGAGTTTCAGAGTTGAGTTATGCAACGAACTCAGGAACTTGAGGAGTTTGAGAAAAGACAATAGTAAATTCCCCAAGAGAAACAAAACTTGTCACGGATCTTCAAATTATTTAAAATTAAAAAAAGAAAAAGGTAAAATGAGAGAGAATGGTCTGGAGCAGGGAAAATTTTACAAACCTCTAGGAAAAGAGTATGAGAGTGCATAGGGAAATACTGACACAGCGAACTACAAATATCTGGGGAAGGGGGAAAGGCTGTGAATGAAATCAAGCATGCCAGGCAAGAGGGTAGGAAATGGCCATGACTTCATAGGCAGTCATGACAAGAAGCACTTGAGAAGACAATTGCACATTTGAAGTTTCCACCAGGTTAACTACATGACCTAACTACTTAACAGACCGAGCATGTAACTGACCCCAATAGGGCATGGTTTACATCCTTGAATTTTCTGAAAGCGGCTCCCAAACTTGAATGTGCATCCAAATTACCAGATGGTTTAAAAGTACTGATTCCTGGGTACTACTCCCACATGACAGGATATGCTAATAGCCCAATCTCAAAAACTCTTCCCAGACATGGACAAAATGTTGAGAATTACAAAGAAAGACACTGTCTCTTTAAGTGGCACAATGAGATACTAAATCTCAATGATAACCTTCTTTCACATTCTCCTTCCTGATGTTTCCTTCACCCTTGAGCCTCTCCCTTCAGTCAACCAACATACAGAACTTCTGCTAGAAGCCACAAGATCCAGCTACAAAGAATTGGCATGCCACTCAAAAACTTAATTTGGGGCCGGTGGAGTGGTTCAAGTGGTAGAGCACCTGCCTAAGCAAGTGTGAGGCCCTGAGTTCCACCATCAGCACTGCAAAAAAGAAGCCTTTTTAGGATCTGATGAGAATTATAAAAGCTATCTCTCCAGAAAAATCAGGCACACACACACACACAAAATTTTAGGGGGTTCATGAATTTTCTGAATCTACCATAACTTCAAATGACAACCTTCACATAACATCAAAGTGAATGAATTTTTTGTCATTTTTTTAAAATACAGTCTTAATATGAGTAGCAAACGATAATTTCTTTAACTTTCTCTCCCATTAGCATAATAGTGCCTAATAGCATGGGAAACAGCATAATTTAATATTACTTAGTTAGACAGCAATAGCTAAAAAGTTTTGGTTCCAATTTTCTGTTGTGATTTCAGCATTAGTTAGTAATTTCAGCTCATAACCAAGCATATTCTAAAATACACAGGCATAACCTAATTTGAAAGTTTAACATGTGCTGATTTATTCAGTTGAAAATCTGATATTTGAAAACATTGTAGGAGTGTATGAGGTGACTGTTCTTTCTAAACAGATTTTAAAAAGAAACAAACAACACTAGTGTATGAACATGCTCTCCCTGATTTAAGTATTCATTCCTTCAACACACACAAAAATATAGTATCTTCATTTTGCACTTTCTTTTTGTTGTGGTTTATTTTCAAGGCATGATTAGACATGTGGACCCTTCAGGTGACATGCTGGCTTCACTTTGGGACTTAGGGAGCTCTTACCACAT